TACATGTGGACAGTAAGATTGAGAGACATGTGGTGTTGTGAGTGAGTGTGTGTGTGTGAGTGTGCCGTCTGGACATGCCTCCCGGTACGAGGGCACCCTCCAAAGCAACCCTCAAAGCAAACCAGTCACTGCAAACAATCACATCCACACAAAAAGGCCCCTTCATTTCTGAGTCACTGAGCAGTTAAACAATAGTTACAGTGCCAAGGAACATTTAACAGGGCCTTCTCTTACTGTGGACTGGGGGGCATTTTTCATAGCCTGCCTTTTTTTATTCTCTCTCTCTCTCTCTCTCTCTCTCTTTCTCTCACTCTCTCTGTCTCCATCTTCTGGAAGGTTCCGTTGGAATAGGCAGCCTTGCCATGCTGGCACTGTCATCTTGATCATTCACAGCTTCTGAGGAACAATCGCTGCCAGTCTCCAGAAAAAGCAGTTTTGCATAATAGCAGCAAAATGTCCCCCCCCCAAAAAAAAATTGCAAGAGGAATGATTGATGTGGCGGGGGACTTTGATTAACAGATGCTAATAGTGGTTCTTCCCTGCAGAGATGTTTGCTTAGAACTGGATGACTGTGTCCTCAACAGTACTCAAGCTTGGGCACGACTATGCCTCAAAGTCGGTCTATTTAAAAATCAGTTGTCTTATACCTTAACCCAGGCTTTCCTGTTCTTTGACAAATACTTTTCCAATACTTTCCCAATATTATCCATTCCCTGTTTGCTCATTCGATTTTCCTGTAGAGGTGGGAAGTAGATTGCAGACCTATACATCCTCCATGTTTCACCCTCAGTTCGCTGGTTGGATTTTCAAAATGTCAACCCACTGGTCCCAAGAGACCCAGGAAGGTCGCACTACTGATCCCATGTCAAAATGATTTTTCATTGCCTCCCTCTCACTGTATTAGCAAATCGATACCCTGTTGCCTAACCAGCTTCTGAAAGATTCGAAGGTTATGAAATACTGCGTAGGTCTGCCCTTTCAATGCTTTAGACTCCAGGCTAAGAAATATAGGTCACGCTGTGGTTCTACCCCTTAAAGGCAGGCCGTGTGGCCCACTGACCGCAGGCAACATGACAACACAAACAGGAGCCCCTCTGGTGCCACTGCCATAATGAAACAGAACAGATTCCATTATGCTTAATAAAAGCCGCTATCTCGGCCGAGCACATTGATTATCCCCCCTCCCCCAATCTCCTTATGTAACACGTCCACTGCAATTTTTCTCTCCACATCTCACATCCTCTGCTTCACAACTTCAGCACCCCCCTCCCAGCTCTAATCCATTTCACTGCCTCAGAAGTGACAGGGGCGCAGCAGATAACAGCCCATCTTGGAGTTGGCGTAGCTGCGAAGTACGCTTACGACGCAAGCAGATGTCATCTAGTCGAGTTGTTCAAGTGCTTCCCTGTGAACTAGCTGATGACCATGTTACAACACTAACAAAAACCATTCTGATGCAGGTAATGACAGTTATTGTTTGTTACTAATATACACTATATGGCCAAAAGTATGTGGACACCTGACCGTCATACCTGTATGAGCTTTTTGGACATCTTTTTTCAAAACCTTGGGCTTTAATATGGAGTTGTCCTACCCCCCTTTGCAGCTATAACAGCCTCTGCTCTTCTGGGGAGGCTTTCCACAAGATTTGGAGTGTGTCTCTGAGAATTTGTGCAAAAGAACATGTGTGAGGTCATTCAGTGATGTTTGATTAGAAGGCCTGATTCACAGTCGACATTCCAATTCATCCCAAAGGTGTTCAGTGGGGATGAGGTCAGGGCTGTGTGCAGGCCACTGGAGTTCCTCCGCACCAAACTCATCAAACTATGTCTTTAAGGACCTCATTTTGTGCACAGGCGCACAGTCAAGCTGAAACAGGAAAGGGCCTCCACCAAACTTGCCACACAGTTGAAACATAATAGTAATCTAAAATGTCTCTGTGTGCTGTAGCATTAACTTTACCCTGTACTGGAGCCAAGGGGCCTAGCCCACACCCTGAAAAGCAGCCCCGGACCATTATCCCTCTTCCACCAAACTTTACTGCCGGACTTGCGTTCCAGTGGGTAGCATTCTCCTAACTCAGATTCATCCTTATTGCCAGATAGGGAAGGATGCTTCATCATTTCATGAGAACATTTCCACTGCTCCAGTGTCCAGTTTGTGGCGTGCTTTACACCACTCCAACTGACGCTTGGCACTGCACATGCCTGGCCATGGAAACCCATTTCATGAAGCGAGGGCAGTTGGCAGCCCTGCTCTGTGAGTTTGCATGCTCTCTCGCTTTGAGCTAAGCTATTGTTGTTCCTAGGAGCTTCCATTTCACAATAATAGCACTTACAGTTGACCATGGTGGATCTAGCAGGGCAGAATGACTTGTTTCAAAGGTGGCATGCTATGACCGTGCCATGTTCAAACTCTTCAGTACAACCCATTCTACTGCCAGTGTTTGTCTATAGTGATTGCATGGCTATGTGCTTCATTTTATACACCTGTTAGCAATGATTGTGGCTGAAACACTGGAACTTGGAATAACTGGAATAATTAGGAGTGGTGTCCACATCCATTGGCCATGTAGTGTATGTAGTGGTTGGTAGTAGTATTGTGGGTAACAAAGTTGCCCGTTGTGTGGCAGAGCAGGGATTCTGTTCCTGACCTGGGCAAGCACACCATACTATGGTCCTTGGGCAAGACTACCTTTGCCTACCTCCGTAAGTTGCCCTACCAAGCATCTACCAAATGTCGTAAATGTAAATGTAGTATACGCAGGCTCTTGATAATAGCCCTAACCAGGAGCTAGTATAGGAGTGATGTTGAAGCTGCCTTTGAAACTCAAAATGAAAGTTATCTGCTCTCACTTTGGTGTATGAAGTGTTAGTGCTGGGAGTTTGTTAGCACTGATGGCAAGGGCAGTTGTTGCATCGGGACTGCTAAAAACAGAATCTGGCCTTGACCTTGCAGGTTTGGTATGTTATTCCTGTGAAGCTTGGTGGTTTGAAAGAACACATGTTCTGCCTCTTGGGGTTAGAAGGGGCATGTGTTTATATTCAGATTATTGAAATGCAAAGTGTAACAAGTTTGGAGTTGCTGCTCTAAGCTGGACACAGTAAGTTCTTTTGCTTGCCCTTTGTCTGCTTTGCAGGCTGTATCAGGCCTCCACTGAGACCTTAGAAGACCTGGTGTGAGAGTCGTTCACTGGCAGGGAGAATACAGTGTAGGCTGTTTTCCTATTGTTACCATTTCTTTTGGCCAGAGAGCACGGGTATTGTTTAGGAGCCACTGTATTGCACTCATTAAGCACATCTAACTCACAACTTAGAAAGTAACTCAGCTCAGAAAGGAATAAAGTCAGTGAGAGGGCATTAATCTGGTTTTTATCTAGCTTTTTTGTTTGCTTTTTGCTGACAGATCTCTTCACAGCTGAATATTATTTACATAATGTGAGATATAACTAATTGTTTACTTTAGGCAGTTGTTCTATCTGTCTCTCTCTGTCTTAAAAACAGATGTTATAGACTGAGAATCAGTGTTGTCTAACTGAAACATGTCTTCCATATGAATGAGTGGAATGCAAATGTATAAAATGGCTGTAGACTACATACAGGTGGACAGAGGCAAATACATAAGCATGCATTCAAACTAAACTCCCACATAAATTACAAACTCATGAATTATACGGATGTAATTTGGATGTATAAATAAAGCAACATCTCAGAGCTAAAAAAAAAAAGCAAAACAAAAAAAGATAAGGGTGCAGAAGGTTTAGAATAAGCAGCTCATTTTATTCCCTCCTCCAACAAGGTTACATGGAAATGGTGGCCCTCCTGTAAATCCTGATTTAGAATTCTGACTCTAATTGGTTGTTTTCCAAAACATAACAAAGAAAAAAAAAAAGCAGAAATATTCTAATAACACACACAACAGAATATCTTTAGTAAGCCAAGTGGCTGCTTTCACTATTATAAAACTGAAGATAGTTTTTTTTTTTGTTTTGTGTTCTTTATAAAAGAAAGAAATCAGTGCAGTATGATATTGCATCAGCATTATTAGTAATGCAGTGCACACTCATCAACAATTTTGGGGATTCCCTGTATTGTCTCTGCACACATGCATATGCCCACACAGTTCATTGTGACCAAGAAAGCCATACAGCCATTCATGTACATGCATGCAGACCCAGCCATTCATATACATGCACACAGACCCAAATACTGTATTTATAAAGGGGGCTAACAAAGTTTGCAGAGAAACAGATGTGCTCATGTCTTCATTTACTTAATTTCCAGTCAAAATGGCCATTAAGTAGAAGTTATTTATTTTTCACCATAAGGGGGAAAAAGCAAAAAACATATTTCACACAAAATTACACAGAAGCCTTTTTTGTCAGCATTTAGTGTGTCTACCTTTTACCTTTATTATAGCTCCCATTCTTTTCAGGAGACTTGCTTTCAGACTTGTTCTGAGTTTGGAAACTCCAGTTTTTTCATTTATTATTGTTTGACTTTCCCCTTCCTTGTGCAAGTGGTTAATGTCATGTCTATTATCCTCAGAAACATCTCCTGAAAAATTATTAACTTCTACTAAATGGCCATTTCAACTGGAAATTAAATGAATGAAAGATGGATTTTTGCACAGTGCTTTATATATACATCCCTGGTGTTGTCCGCTAATGTTGAGCCAGGCTGTTTAAAATGCCGGCCCTGAGCAGGCAGCTAAACAATGATTACTGTTATTCATCAGCCTGACGACTTCATGCTTGCATGCAGAAAAAGAAAGTGCTGTGTAGGAAAAGGCTTTGTGGCCGTTTTCTCCTCCATACTGTCGGCCAAGCAGGCACATTAGGAGCGGGGGGAATGTATTTTTCCAATTCCCTCTGCTCCAGGGACTCATAAACATGCGCACGTGCACACACGCGCACACTCACTCTAGCGGGGGTCACTGAAAAAGCCACCCTGCTTTGCCTTCTCTGCATGTGTCTCCCAGTTCTAAATCTGGCTGGGGACCAGAGGGGTTGTAACTCAGGCTCCAGCAGAGTGGTGCAGAATCCAGCTGCCGCTCTCTCTCTTTCCTTCTCCCCCTCTCCCTTTCTCACGTGGTGGCCAGGCTGGTTCGTGTCGGCCTCCGGATAACGGACTGCGCGCACAAAGAGAGTCCAGGAAATTCCTCCAGGCACGGGGCAGGGACTTGGCCGGGTGTCTGTTATTGGAAAAGCTGACGGAGAAAAGGAGGGGGGTTTAGAGTGACTGCTCGGAGTCAAAGACAGAAAGAGAAAGAGTGAAAGAAAGAGAGAGCAAGGCCTCATGCAGCGATTTAGAGGAGCCTCAATCTTGCTTTATCTGCCTGACACACCCTGACTGCCTGGGCATTTGTGCTGGGGGACTGTAGGTGGACAGCGCAGAGCAGAATGGTAAGTTTCTGGCTCCTGGGCTTTGCTCTCTGACTTCTTGTTTGTTTGCTTGCTTACCAGGGTTGTTGGCATTGGCATAAGGGAAGACAAGTCCAGGTTTTGTTAATAATACTGCTGCTTCATTGTCTACGTAGAAGTTTCGCTGTTTCTGCTCCACTCAGCAGTAGTTTAATAGGCTTTTTGGCTGCTTCTCATGTTCATCTTTCTCTCCGAGCCCTCTGATGCACTGGTTTATTTTGGGCGTTGAGTTGTGATCTGAGATTATTAATTTGAAGCCAAGGGGTGGGTCTGGAAGGCCCCATGCCAGAAGTTCTCGCAACACAAAAGGTTTTCAGTGGGGTACACCCTCCTTCATATTTCCCTCCCTCTTTCTCTCTTTCTGGGGCCAGACACTGCTGTTGCTCCACTTCCCCATATCGCTCCCACTCTGCATTTGGTATCAATTACGCTGGCCCTCTGGGAACAGTGTTGCTATAAATAAGTAACAACAGAGCTCGCTCTGGAAAGATTGCAGAGTTACTGTCGGGAGTTGGGAGGGAATCTGCTGCGTAGGAACACTCATTCTTGCACCTTACGAAGGGCAATCAAGGTGCCTCACGACAGACGGGCGATGTCACAAGCAGGTGCCAAGGTGTTGATTTGTTGTTGTTATGATTCGCTGGGACAAGGTCAGTTTTTTGAGGAGGAAGGGCATTCAAGGACCTTGAAGAAGAGCAGGATGGGTTGTTGCCCGGCTGGAGAGTGAGTGAGCTACACAGCTGACGGGGTTATGAGGGTTATGCTTACTGTCTGCCTGATGCCATAGATTCAGAAGCAGCCGTCTCCGCCCTGGGCCTAAACACCAAAGTTAGCTGCTGACGTGTGGAACAGGCCTTGGATTCATTTCCACAGGCACTCATTGTCAACATTGTGCCAGAAGATTGGTGGGGTGCAGAAGTTTCAAAGCTTGGGGGAAAAAAAATGGCAAGTGAAGGAAAAAGTTCTCGAAATGCAAACACACCACAAAGATTCTATTCTTGGTTCCCTTTTTCTGGCTTTTTTGCCCCCACATAAAAATAAGAATACTTTTTATCACATTCTCCACTATGTAGACAGTTTCTTGCCCACTTTTTTGTTGACTGTAACAAGGCTATAAAGTGCCTAATCTGCACAACCTTGCACACATATAGCCTGTCAGGGTGGCATCATGCTCTTCTTTAGAGCTGAGTTTGTTTGCCTGGCATGTCTAAGGTTTGCTAGCAAAATACGGCTGTAGGGAGCCTTGGTATGTAACACCACCCAACTTCAAAGGAGCTGCACCCCCTCATCTGTTTAACATCAAGCGTGCTGGAGCACTGCTGTTCTTTCCACCCAAAGGGAAGAGAGGTAGAATGTACGAGGGAAACGCAGAGGGAGGAGATCAGCTCTATGATTACATGGAACCACATGGTGATGGATGTTCTGAGGTGCATCGTAAGATTGTAACAGTACTTTGTCATGTTCCGCTTATGCACAGCAGGGGGGGCATTGAAGAGAACGCTTCTGATTCACAGGGTGTGCGGTACATTAGATTATGTTTGATACTTAGAATTGCACCACAGGGACTGCTACATTTGAGGACTGGAGAATAAGTTGTCACACAGTTGTTAATTGTGGTGTGCCCCAGGGGTTCAATTAAGGGCCCTTTTCGTTTTTTTATATACAATACATTCCCTCTGCTCTCTTAAAGCAGACGTTTTAAACAGAACACAGTATATATTTTTTCAACATATCTGTGCATTCAGTGTATTTTGAGTTACATTTAAAATACAAATATGTATTTTGCTAGAGGTTGCTGTGCTCTTTTAGCCTAAATGCACAAGCTTAAACAAATACCAATTTAATAATAATAATTGTGTTAATGTAATGTACTGACCTTGTAATATGCTATTGTAATATGCCACACGAATACAGAACACTGACAACATACCAGTATCTATTGAGATTTTATGTGTGAACATTTCTTTGTCATTGTACCCCCTCCCCCCCCACACACACACACACTCACACACACTATCGGGCTATTCTTTTATTATAGTGTTTTTTTTTTTTACCTTGGGAATGACTTGCTTGTTTGAACATGCAGAAATCTGTATGACCCTTATACTCTCATTCCAATGCTTGTCTTCTCTTGAGGATGGGGAGCATTAGGTCAGTCTCTTTTTTTCTCTCCATATCTCACAGTAAATAAGGATTTGGCTTTTTCACCCTGCAATGACTTTCTTATCCAAAGGGCTCCTTTTTATCCAAGCGTCTGTTGCAGTTATTACAGAAGTGGGAAGACATAAAAGCACGGTACATCGGCATCTGATGTGGATTAGAGCAGAAAGTCAAAGTTCAAGAATACCTCCATGTCTTCTGAATGTACTTCCAACAGAACCAGTTTACTGCAAATGTAGCTAAATTTGACTTTATCCTTACCACAAATGTCAACCTCTCAGATGATTTAGAAGGTAATATAGTTCCAGTTATATTTTAACTTTTGACACTATTTATTTTATGATTTATTTTTTTTGCGCAAAATGAAGCAAGTGCAGGCATGCAGTTTGCACAGTGTTACACTGGTGGGGTGCAGTAATTTTGAAATTTCAGACTCTCCCCTTCCTTATGCAAGCAGATCATCTCAGAAATGTCTCCTGAAAAATGAATATCTTGTAATTAATTGCTGTTTTGACTGGAAATTAAATAAGTGATGCTTAAAATCAAAGGCTTGGACTCATCTTACATTAGCCTCATAGCTGCAGCACAAAACTTTGGACACCAAATATGTCTTGACTGAGCAACTGTGTGTCAAGTGAGAGGTAATTGTATAAATTTGACTTTTGAATGAACTATTCTGTTAAAATAGCGTACTTTAAATTGGAATGATTTTCCAGTACATTGTTGTAGTTATTTACAGTGTAGATTACTTCATTCAGTAGCCTAAAAGTCAAATATAGGCTTAGTGTGGTGGATCATGGCTGTGTGTATGTGCACGGCTCATGTGCACATTATGCATAGGCTATGCATCCTTGTGGCTCAGCGCTACGTTAAAGTACACAGAGGTGAAGGAATATAAGTGGCAAGAACGGCTTGTATGTGACAGCCTGAGCCTGGAGCTCTTCCAGTGAACTGCCAATAAACCGATGCAGTCCTGGCACCAGGGAACCGGGCTAAGCCATGAGCAGGTGTTTCATATGCCGCGGCTTTTTGACAATCCCCATGTTTTTTTCGGAGTCATCACTAAAGCATCACCCTTTTCTGAAAAATCTCGAGTTCTCTAGCCTGCCAGATGTGCCACAAGAACAAAGAGTACAAGCGACATTTGTTATAATAGCAGGATTTAGCCTCAAATCCTGAGCCAAGGTATGCCAGGTAGCATCCTGAAATAGCTGGAAGGTGGAGTAGAGCCGCAAACAGCATGACACAAAATTGCTGTTTTTAGTTTCAATATGTTGAGTCGAGACTGCTGTAAAAAGGCCTTCTGCTCTTGGTATGTGTGTTATGAATAAATTACAATGTAAATGCTCTAAGGCATTACCTGTGTCGCTTTGCTTTAGGTCTGTTCAATACGCTCAACGTATTATGACTTTGGGACCACTTTAGGCCATTGAAATGTAAAGCTACTTTCACATATATACAGGACTGTCTTATTTTTTTCCCCTCACGAAGAAATTTCTCTTACTGTGAATGACACTGACACTACAATACTGTGCAGAAGTCAGACATCACCCTACATTTATTTCATTTCCTGTCCAAACAGCCTTTAAATGCAAGATTAATTTTTCAGCATCAACCAAAAAGCAGAAGCCTTAACAATGAAAGATTATATGTTTTTCCGTATTTATTGTGTGCCCCTGTTGCTTTACTTGCACCTTCCATTAATTTCAGCTCCAAAGTTGAGTCTTAGAAGTTGGTTGCATATTCTGCTTCTCACAATCTAAATATGCCTAAACACATTCAGTGATGTTGAGTTCTGGATTGGGGAGGTCTAAGGGACCCAGCAGCTTCTTTGATTTGTAAATTTTCTACCTTTTCCTTTTTTAGTAACAGCTTCTTCACAGCTACACATGCTTTCAGACTGCTATTTTGACTAGCAGGCCTTTTTGTACAGTTCTGCAGGCCGTACCAGAGGTGAGCAGTAACTATCCATTGATTCATGTCAAATTTGGATGAATTTGTACATCCTAGAGTATTAGAAAACAACAACACTCTTACTTATACCAAGTATATTTGTAATAGAGGTTTGCACTCCCAGCAAAACACCAAAAATAACCATTCTGTGGTTTAATTCCTGCGTTGTATTTACTGAGAATAAATGCTGTTTGGTGAAGTTACTTCACAGTAAGCCTGATGACCATGACTGCTGTGTTGTTTCAGCAGAGAATAATGTATTTGTGAACAGACTATGTCGAATATTGGACGTCAGCTCGCCTTGACAGAACTGTGTGGGCAGGAGCGGGCCAGAACATTTCGATTGCTGGCGGGAGCGTGACGAATAATTCCGATTTTCTGCGGGAGCAGACAGGAGTGGGATGAAATCTTGTGGGAGCAGGTGGAAGTGGGACTGAAAAAACAGTCCCGTGCAGACCTCTAATTTATTAGGAAAGCAAACCACTCTTTACTTCACTCCACCTTTTTACTCATGAACATGAGTTTTTAATTGTCCTGTTATGTTTGATTTTATTTTATTCTGTTTGTCAAGCACTTAGACTGCTTTGCCTTTGCTCACACCTCCCACTTTTAAGCTTTAGCATTTTATTTTGGCCTAAAAAGAGAAGCTCCAGACAAACTTAACCTTACCCACCTCTGTGCCGTATCTGCTTTTGATGTAAACTGGATATCCTGATCTTGATTAGTGCTTACTTAAGCAGTAGCCTCACAAGTCACAAGGCTGATGTGGTTTGTTCCGCCCACAATGGTCTCTCTGTGTTTAAGTTGGAAAAACTTACACAGAGAAAGCTAACAACCAAGCGACAGCTAACCCTAGCATGCATGCTATC